GACGAACGTCCGTAGGTAAAAGTGTTTCACTTTTACCAACGGATCCAAGGACAGGGATGATGGCGTGGCTCCACCTGATTCGCCCGTTTGAATTTTCACGCAAAATTTCTATTAATTCTTTGTTTTCATATATTATTATTATTATGTATTGTATGTACAAACAGAAGTGAATGGTGCAGTGGTGAGCGTAGCATTGGAAATTGTTCCAGGACCTGGGTTCGAATCCCAGGTCCCCCTATTTCCCCATATTATTTTCCTTTTCAGGATCCAGCGTGCTTACCAACCAGGGGTCCACCATATGTCCTCATCATCAATCATGCCAAGTGTCAGATGGCCAAATCTGATGGCCATCCAGGAGGGAGCACCATGAGCCAAGTCAAACGCATCACACTGGATCTCAAAGGTCAACGTGGACCTCACCATTTTGGGCCCAAATCTGACTATTGGCACCCCCATAATTCTCAGGCCCAATGCTTTTTCTCTCTTTCTCTTTTATTATTATATTTATTTTATTTAACTTATTTAATTTATTTACTAACCAAAAATTAATTTTCTTTTTATCAAAAAATCACCAAAATTTTTATTTTTCACCAATTAGATTTAGGTATTTTTTTCATCAATAAATTAATTAATTTAATTAGGTTTGATTAAATTAGATAACTTTAATTTATTTTTGCAAATAATTAAAATTAATTAGAATAAATAGGTTTTATTACTAATTTAATTGTATTTTATTTTTCCCTAAAATAGCAAAAAAACCAAAAATAGGTCTTGTAATTATTTTTATTAATTAATTTAATTAACTAATTAATTGCATATTTAATTTAGAAAACTTATTTCTTTTTATTAAAAAATAAACAAAAACATTTTTTTTCCTTTTAGTTAGGTTAGGAGGGTCAAAACCCTAGTTCGCATTCGATCTAATTTGTCATCGTGCGCTTTATTCTATTTTTTTATCCCAATTATTGTATCTGCTCACAGTTTGTAATAGTTTAATTAGGACGTTTATTTATATTTATCGTTTTACTTTTCAAGGGTTTGTTTTTGGCTATGTAAATACCCGAAGCCTTGTAATAGCGTAGTTTAATTTCCGCAAATTATTAACTGTTAGATGTATGATAATATGATGCATGACAAGAATGTATGTCTAATTTTAAAACAGTTAGATCACCCTAAATGTGCAAAGATAAATAAACTGAAACTGAATCATTCGCACATGCGCACTCCTAGGGTACACTCCCACTTGGTTGCCTTCGGTAAACGGTCATTGAGTATAGGATGCTTTAGTGGTCGTCCTTGTGTCCAAAGATCAAGTTGCCTCGGAAAAGTTGCCTCGGATATTGTTGCCTCGGATAAATGATCTAAGACATTAGGGTTACTACTAAGACGACCTAACATTGCTTTAGTGACCGTACGTCCCTTTCGAATTGACCCTTAAAACTCCAATGACGATGCTACCTACTCACTAATAGTGGGATAACATTGTATAAAGGAAACAAGCATATAACGATTCTTTTTTCGAGTAGGTAGATTAGTTCTTAAGTACTTGCTCAATCCAAAACAAATTTTTCACACTTACACTTCTTTACAAACAAAGTTTTCAAAAACACTTCATTACACTCTTGAAGACAGAAGCAAGAGTTAAATCTAAGTCAAAACAAAAACTTTTTCAAAGCCCAGAAACACAAAGAAAACAATTTTGAAAATGATGAGCAAGTATCTAAGAGCCTGTAGATAACTACGGATAGAAAGGGTGCTAATAACTTCCCTTTCTATAATCTACCCCTCGAACTCAGAAATATCTCGAAAAAGGAATTTTTCGGTGCTTTTTTCCTTTCCTTGTTGGATAAAATAAAAGTCGGTGACGACTCTTGCTTGCCGCGACATTTTGCAAACACAAACGCAAAACGCAAACCAGCAAATTCCTTAACGAAATAGGGAAACCACGTCCCGGTTCTGGCCACCGTATCACAGCAATGAATCATTTAGATACCTTCAGATATCAACTCCAGAAAACATATTTGGAAAGCCACAAGGCCAAAAAGGCAATGTGTTCTTCATTAGACACAATGTTGACACCTTTGGCGTGAAAACGCTCCATATATTTGGTGAAGCCATCAATGTCCTTTTCAAAAGGGATACCATTTTTGTCAGCTTCAGTGGGAAGAAACGCTTCACCTGTAGAGCGGAGACCAGTGATGGCCGCAACGTCAAACAAGGTGGGAGTAAGCATCCCAACTGGAAAATGGAAAGTGTTTGTAGAGCCTTCCTAAAAGTAAAGTGCGGAAATCAGCATGTGATTGTAATAACTAGGGCCAACCCTAAAAAGCTGAATCGAGTCAAAAGCCTTGAGCTTTCTAAATGTTACCCTTCACTTTTTCTACTTTATTCAACCATGCAATATAATCTTGGTTGACGGCAGGGACAGAACATAAGACTTTAGATGTACGATAGATGTGTGAAAAATCTATAGGCTAATCTCTCTTGATAGGGGGTTTGGTGGTTTTGTGAGTAGGGAAGCAGCCTTTCAAGTGTTTAGGTACCCTAACCTCATCAGGAATAGGCCCAAATAGAGCGTAAGCAGTATTGTTGCAGATGAAGGGAAGCAACAACTAGGAGCGAAAAGTTTGGAGATTGCGTGTTGGCGTTGGTTCTAATACAAAAGTGTTTTGATAATGAACGAGGAACGCACACATGTTGGAAACTAGTTCAATTTCATGGGAAGTTTGAATGTGCTCAGAGATTTGGCTTGAAGCGGCCATGGAGATGATGGAAAGTTTTTCTGGGTAAAAATTAAAATGAAAGTTTCTCTGGTGTACGAAGACAAAGAGCTTAAGTATGTAAATAAATGTAAAGAGGAAATTGAAGAGATGAAAGGGGTATTTATACCATCAAGGAGACCAAACATGATGGAGAAAGAAAAAAAGTTGTAGCTACACGATCGACACGTGTCAAACAGATGGCAATCGAGTTGAAGAAGTTGATAAGTTGGAGGCCACAATTATCCTCGGAAGTTGAAACTAGAAAATAGGGAAGTGGCTGTGTGATCGCTGATGTAACATTTAAGGTAAAAGGTCATGATTACAATGATGTCACTTCACACTAAGAGAAAAGGATTAAAATGTCCATTTCTTTTCTTTCAGTCGAAAAGGACATTTTGGGGGACAATTTGCTGGCTAGGATTTTCACAAAGGATTAAAATCCAACCAAAAGCAAAAAAACAAAGGTTATTTAAAGACTTTGAATTATATGGAATCGACCACAGAAGCAGTCGACTGGAAGAAGTTTCATAAAAGATCAATTTGGACTTGTGAACGCAGTCGACCAGAAAATAGGCCTTATGAGGAATGGATTGGGCCCATGAGTGTTAAAAAGGCCAAAAGAGGGCATAACTAGCAAAATAAAGTGTTGTGAATGGAGAACATGAGTTTGATAGCAGGAATGGAGAACGTGGATTCATGGAGGGGAGTTACAAGAGACACGTGGCTCATAAAGAAGCGAAGTCCGTTGAAAAATAGTTATTTTCATGTATTATAAATAAAGCACTCATTGTATAGTGTAGAGGGTTCAAACTTTCACATTTCCACATGCTAGTCACTTAGAGTACTCAAGCGAATGAGCGAAATGAGTCAAGTAAAAATGATGTGTGTTTGAATCAATCTATTTTCAATTATTTTGATATTATGTCATCTACTTTTATAGTTTAGAACGTCTTTGTTTTATTTTACAATTCATGCTTTATTTCTTTTAAATTCGTTTCGTCTTAGTCGAACGAACCCTTTTGAACATACTTTGTGAAAACACTAGAAAACTGAAGCACCTTACTGAAATTTAATGGTCGATCTCGTCAGTCAACTTTTTGTTAAGAGATCAGTGTTGTTTACCAAAACCAGAGGTAAATAGAGACACATTAGGTTTGAGAATGTTATCTAGATGCACCATACCTAATGTGATAAAAAAATTAAACTAATTAACACATAGTTATTGGAAAATTAAGCACATCTAGGGACCGAAAATACATTTCCGGTTTAGTTCAATTACTAATCGAAAATACAATTCCAATATTAGCGTAACATTTTTCAAGAAAAAAAATCAGATTAATGTGAAGAATGATGATTGAAATAAATAAACTTTACCATAAACTCCACTTCCTTGAGCTCCTTTTGATATGATGAACTACAAGAATAAAGATTTGGAGTGGAAAAATGGATTGAGAATGGAAGAGTTTTTGAGAGGACTTATGGAAAGATGAAGAAATGACAATGATCATCCTTCAACATGTTGGTTACAATTTTAAGTAATATGCATTTTTCATAATACCGGAAGTATATTTCTGGTAATATATATATATATATATATATATATATATATATATATATATATATATATATATATATATATATATATATATATATATATATATAATGGACAAGGTGACTGAAAATTCAATCTTCCCGCTATAAAAACCAGAAATACAATATCGGTTGCAATCAAAACTACAATTCCGATTTTATTTTTGCCTTTTTAATAGGGTATAATCACATTTGATCTGTTTGTGTGCGGTGTATGGTGCGCATCGAAAATATACTTCCGATTTCAAAAAACATTTTAAAAATTATGATAATTTTTTCTTTTCACTATAGAATAGAAAGAGAAATTCTCAAAATTAAAATAAAAATAAGTCATAAGGCTAAATTCTCCCACGAGGTACTTCTTATAGCCCGTAAGTAGAGATAAGTCATAAGGCCTCTAATATAAACAACCTGGTTCGACTCATCTTGATAGTGCATAACTTTATGCTCCACGTAGCTCAGACTGAGTATTCATCAAGTAAAAATAATTTGGGGTATAGGTTTAGTTAAAAGAGGGTATGAAGGTCAATTTTTAAAAAATTAATAAAAAACAAAAGGCCCAATAACTTGTACCAAAACATAAAGTAAAGTTCCCATTATAAGGTTTTGCAGTTGAGCTTAGAACAAGAACCCTCACGTTCTAACAAAATGGCAGAAACCGCCTCACCGGAACCGAAGCGAGGCAGAGAGGAGGACGAGGAAAATGTTTCCAAGAAGCAAAAGGTTGAGGCGGAAGAAGAGAAGAAACCATTCGGTCCTGTGAAATTGGGTAACAAAACTTTCGGGTCTTCTTTGGAGTTGTTCGATTACTTCAACACTTTCCTTCATGCTTGGGGTCTTAATCTTGATGTTAACAAGGTTATTATTTAATCTATCTAATTCATTATCTTTTGATTTCACTACATGTATTCTATACATACATAACTGATTCTAGTGAAAGGCTGTGTTTGTGTTTGGTAGGTAGCTTTTGTTTTTAGAGTTAATGTTTTTGAATAAGCTATATAGGCTATTTTCTTAAACTATCTAGGAGAATTAATGAATAGAAGGTAATATTGGCTTATGATTTTGGGTTATTTTGTGTGGCAGTATGAACACACAATGTTACTGGAATTACTTAGGAAAGGTCATCCAGAGGCTGATGAAAAGATTGGTGGAGAAATCTGTGCCTTCCAAGTCCGAAAGCATCCTACATGGAGAAGCAAGTGTTTTTTTCTCATTAGGGGTGATGAATCAGCGGATGACTTTAGCTTCCGTAAATGTGTGGATCATATTCTTCCCTTACCAGAAGCGATGCGAGTAAAACATGATGCAAACAGAGCATTAGGAAAGCGCGGTGGTGGTGGGAAAGGACGTTCACGTGGGGGGAAAGGGAAAGTCAATACATTGAGTAAAGTGAGTGACTCCTGACTATTTCTGGTCTTGGTTGTATAATTCAGTTTTGATTTTTAATTTCATGTTGCAAATTAGCATTGAAGATTGTAATATACTTTATTCAAGTTTGCAAATTGGCATTGAAAAAGGCTTCCCAGTGATTAGCATTCACAGACACCCACACAAGCTTAGCCTTATATCATAGTCACACATGGCATGAAGAGTTGTCTCTACTACACCATCACAATCACTACAATAAGGGTCATTTACCTTCATTTGATGTAGTCTATGGTTGGTTACAAGACTCTTGTTATGTTGCAGCATCCAAATAAAAGTTCTAATCAGTTTTTGGTACCCTAAGTCTCCACATCCTGCTCCATTCATCTGAACTCAAATTGATATTGAAATTACTTATCACTTCAAAGACACAAGAGACAGCAAAGTTTCCACTACTAGTACATGTCCACATAAAGACATCTCTTAGACATCTCTGCCATGATCATAACTAGGGGGAATGAATAGCCTAAAGTCAACCACTTTAGCATTATGCAGAGCTTTAGGAATAGATTCACATTCACTAATATTAGATAATTTGAGACATGCTTGCACCCAACAATTTCCCAAACACTCGAATCACCATTACCAATAGCCAATAGATCATGTCATTCATTGTATGCCATAAAGTCACAAAAACATAGTATTTAAGATGAGAGGATTAGGAGTGTGACATATCGATCTGGGTCGGTTTTCAGTCAAAATAAAATAAAAATTGGAATTTACATTGTGTTCCTGACAAACACAATTGAAAAGCTTCTTTGAAGTTAATCTGGCGAGACCGCAATTGTACTGTACTTTAGAGGTTGTTAGTTTGCTTATGTTTTCGTGTGATATAATTTCCTCTCTCTCCTCCATGGGAGGATCCCTTTTTATGCTTGGCTTTGGTCCTTGCATTCATTGAGCAATGAACTTTCGATCAAGAAGAGTTTCTAACATTCGCAGTCACAATTATGAGAGCGTAACGCTTTCTTCATCAATTGTCCTAACTCTCATGCAGTCTTTGGACTACTGTAATCGCCGTACCAACTTGGCACTTTGTCCATCTGACTAGGCACATTACTCATCGTGTCTGACTTTACATATCATCATACATCCTTTATATCGTCTGAACACCAACTCGTCAACCGGTTTCATTTAGTGATTTACAACCCATTCCTAAGAATTTCATAGTGTACACATTGGTTAGTTTGGTTTTGTGTTTTTCAAAATAAGAATTGAAACAAAGGGTTTAGGGTTTTGATTAGGTTCGTCGGAATGGTCTAACCAGTCTGCATTTTACAATAAATATGATTTTTTAGAAATATTATGTTAAAGAGTTAAAATTTTAAAAAATTGAGTGAGGTGTAATTTTTTTCTATTAATATTAGGTGTTATTAGTAAGACAATTATTTTAAAATATAGATAAAACTTTTAAAATATATTTTTTCTCTTATTAAAAATTGTCTTATTATTCAAGAATAATAATTGTCTTAGATATATTAATTGAATATAATAAATAGTTATTTGATTTTAATAATGATATAAGGGGATATGAATTTTTTTTTTACAAAAATTATTATATCTGATATCGAATGATTGAAATTCATTTTTGTCTTTTTTATTTTAAAATTTTCTTAAGAATAAATATTTTTTTATATAAATTGAGATATATTTTTTAACAATTTAGGAGAATGAATAATATACGAGGATGAGTAAAATAGCTAGTATCTTCAATTAATTTATAAAAAGAATGTGTAGTATTATTATAAATATTTCAAAATTAAAAAAAAAATACGAATGAATGCAAATACTATTAGTAGTCAAGACTAAGATAAAAAAAATTAAAAAATGTATAATAAGAAGTTAAATATTTAGTTATAATATTTAAAACAAAAAATATATTTGCTGAATTTACCACAATTGTGTTTGAAATGTTGAATAATTAATAGTGAAGTTATTATATAAAAATAATACAATAAATTCAATAATTAAATACAATTAGTATAATCATTTTAATTTACATTAATTAGAATTGATCTCACTAATATTAAGAAATTGAATAAATAATTTTAAAAGATAATTTCTGAATAAATAATTTAAAATCATTAATTGTGGGTTATTTTTCTTTAAAATGAGTATATTAAGATATAGGTCAAATTATGCAGTTTTATAACCACCCTCTTATTATAAACACTAGTTAGTTTCACATATTTACAAAAATCAATAAATTTAATACATTTATTTATTTATTAATCTTTAGATGATATTTTTAATTATTTTGAGATTTTTATTATAATTATATGATAAATGTCTAAGAAATATGAAGTTATATGTTTTGTTTGTTAATTTTAAATTTGTTAATTTAAATGCATCCATTAGGCAGATATAATTTGGATTGCATTCAAACATTAAAATACAGTTATTTTTTGGAAAGTAGAGGTGGTAATTCAAATGGGGCAAAATACTAAGTGAGGCACGTTTTGAATTCTCTGAAAATTGTAATTGTTTGCTACAATAATAAATAATTGTTATAAAATAAATGAGTATAAGGAATCGTTTATCAATGTAAAATTTGCTAGTGTACACAACAAATTTCAATTTCTTTTGGAAGCTGATATGATATCTATTTTATTTGTTGGAAGAAATATTTTGAGCTAACATTAATAATGATTAAAGAAAATAATAAAATATTATAAAGATTCAAATCAATTTGAATAAAATTAATGCTGTGATAATTGTATAATTTCACAACATTAATTATTATTAATATATATTAATCACATTAAATTACATTTATATTAAAAAAAAGTACAAAAAAAAAGTAGAAGAATAGTAAATATTACATATTTTCATTGACACATACACACTTCAAAACAAATAAAAAAGAATAGTAAAAAAGTAATCAATAATTACATAATTTCACATATAATTTATTTTTACAATTCAATTTGAGACGTCTAATGTAATATCATTCTTTTATTTATTTATTTATGTTTTCATGAAATGTACATTAAAAATCACTCAGAATAATCAGATTTAACATCTTAATGAAAAAGAATGAACTAATGACATGATCTCATTTCAATGAAAACAAATAATTCTAGTAGATCCATGTTGAAAGGCTCACTTTTCCCTCAAAACCTTATCCTTCATCTTCCATATCAGGATCCTTCATTCCACTTGTATATTAACTTCTGTAAAAACAATAAATAAAAAATTGACATGTCAACAGAGTGAAAATAATGAAGATCTTTTAAAAAAAAGATTAGAAAATAAAACATACTATAACTGCTTAAAATGTAATTAGATTTAGTAACAAAAAATGTTTCCCAGTCACATTTAAGCATATTCCAACTTCATGTATATTCATATCACTTGAATAATAATATGATTAAAATTACAATCAACCTGCTATAATTATGCCTTAATTCCACTCCATTTGTGTTTCTGTGGATTGCATTAAGTCTTCGTACACTGACATCACATGTTTTGAGCTCTTTAAGATAAAGAGTGCTAGAACCTACATACCAGTTGTTTGATACATGTTCGCAAGCGTTTTTCGCGAATAATTTCTAGCCTCTTACTTAAAGGTTACTTGCAGGACCGGTTACAAGAGTTCTAGACTTAGTGTTAAGTTTGGTATGGTGTTTTGAGATTAGAAATGAGTAAGGTATGAACCGAAACATAAAAAGGTAAAAATAAAGATAAATTTGCAAGGTAAAAATGATAAACAAGACAGAAAATTTAAAATAAATTGCTTTGAATTTAAAGGTGAACGCACGCATAAATTTCTCAGAAGTGACTCGCTTCTTTCTCTTTTGACGTAGATACTTTGAGCTCTTTCTTACAATGTTACAAAATGCGACCCTTGATATGAATGAAAAAATTGCTTAAATAAACAAATAAAAGTAACCGCTATCCTACACGTTCGACAATTATTATATAACCAGGTTCGGAGTTTGTGATGAAACTTCCTTTTGATCCTTCCCACGTTCTATTGGTAACCGTCGATGAAACTGCTTCAATGTTAAATATTTTTGCATTCAACTGGACTCCATCGACCTGGCTTAAACATTAAGAATTTTCGTTAAGTCTCAAAGGGACTTTAACTTTAGTAACCTGTCAACGCTTCTTGCCTCATAATGGGTTATGTCGAAAGTACTTTGTCCTTGGTGATGACCCTTAGCTCATAATCAATTTCCTTAGTAAAAAATCATTGACTAACAAATTGCCCCCTGAAATGCCAATTTCGACGGAGGCTGTGTCGTTTGAGATTTTTGACATTTTCCTTCTTTTTAAATTTTCGATCGCTTGCCTACTCAACTGACGTCATATGTCATGATGACTACTTTCTGCACCACTATTCCCAACATCATTCCATCATTTCTCATGATGGCTTCTAGTTTCTAGGGTGTGAGATTCTAACAAACCTTACTAACTCTTCCACTTCTAAATTTCGTAACAATCATCACTTTACAAGTGAGTGCCACATGTCCATCATCGATGGCTTCAATAAGTATAAATAACCCTTCACGCTTATTGTCCTTTCATCTTCTTCCTTTACGAACCTTTTTACCTGCAACTTTCTACACAGAGAAAACTCTTCGTTTGTTTCTTTCTCTTCCACGCATATACTGCCATGGCTTCTTCTGCTTTAAACCAACTGAACACAGGTAATAACCCTATAGCTTTTTCTCTCACAGAAGAATAAGGTTTACAAGACATTTCTCAGCCACCTTCTACTGATGCATTTAAAGTATAAAAATGGCAGAAGCATGTGCTTATACCTTTCGTAGTGGCTGAAAAGCTCTTCACATTTCACAGACCGTATCCAGATGCAAGGTCTCACCCTCACAAGGTACAACAATACTTTCCTTGTTCTTTTCCTACTTCCGTGTTTGCCTACGAAAAACATCCTCTCGATGTCAAATTTATGAAACCCACTAGGATTTTTTGATCAATGCATACTCTTGGTAACAAGGCTTGGCTTGCGTGGCTCA